GCATTATATTTCGTTCTGAGAAACTTACATTGTATTGGTTGTTACATAATGTCGCCTTGTCTATAATTACTACTTGCGCGCGTAAATCGTCTACGAATCCGCTCAACATTTGTCATTCGATACGCTTATGTTGTAATCGTTTAATTAACGAAATTATAATTTATATAAGGTGAATTATATAAGGTAAATAAGGATAACAAAAAAAAGGATGACCCAATAACTGAATATGATCGAAAAAATCAACAATATATTTGTAATTATTAAGATATTTGTAAATAATAGCAAGAAAATAGCAAACGAAAGAAGTGAAATATTTTGTGTAAAATAAATAATAAATACATGTAATTTTTATTGGAAATTATTACAAAAAACTGTTTGTTTTACGGGAGTGATCATATTTTGATTATTAAGTTTCGCAGGATTAATCATATTTTTAATCATCTTCTTACCATCTAACGTAAGACAGTCTTACGTAGTCCATACTTTCAAATTTATTATACTTTACATGTATTTACCTAAATGTAGTGTATTTTCTATGATTGTAGAAAACTGAAATTAAATTTAAAAAATTTATTTTTATTATATATATATAGTATTTTTTTTATAATAACATCTTTCGATCACCGACAAAAATTTCATGTAGACATTAATTCATGTAACGTTACAAGTTAATAATCAATAATAATATAAAACTGATCATATTTTCTTATTAGTTCCATCATTGGAACATTTACCTACCTTATATGTGCACTCCTGTTAACGCCTGTCCGTTGACCGTCGAAGACAGGTCTCCACCTCCGTTTATACGAACAGACTATTAAAGCCCGTACAATCTACGTCTCATGATATTGGTAGACAAAAGAATACATTAGGAGAGGAGCCTTATGACAGATACGTGTCTGTATCGGGTTATCAGCGGCGTCTCAGCATCAGACTACGGCATCGTTATGGGCACGACGTTGACGGACGGCTCTCTTACGCACGGTTGACGGGAAACACAAATTGTGGGCGCAGCTGCGCCGATAGTAATCAAGAAACACGGTAGGTAGTGGAGTAGAGTAGCCAGCTAATAATTCTCTCCCTCCCTCCCCCCTGCCTTTCGTCCCTCTCATCAGCCTCTCTCTCTCTCTCTCTCTCTCTCTCTCTCTCTCTCTCTCT